TATATATGTGTGTGTGTGTGTGTGTGTGTGTGTGTGTGTATGTAATTATGTGTGTGCGTGTATATATGTGTACCTGTTTTTCTATTCTGGTGGGGACTTAAACCTGACTACACACAGACTCATGGGGACTCGTGTCATGGTGGGGACCCAAATTGAGGTCCCCACGGGTAAACAAGCTTATAAATCACACAGAATGAAGTTATTTGAAAATCTAAAAATGCAGAAAGTTTCCTGTGAGGGGTAGGTTTAGGGGTAGGGTTGGTGTAGGGCAATAGAATATACGGTCTGTACAGTATAAAAACCATTACACCTATAGAGAGTCCCCACAAGGATAGCTGACCAGACGTGTGTGTGTGTGTATATATATATATGTGTGTGTGTGTGTGTACAGTATGTACACACACACACATATAACAGATGCATTGTTATCCTGAACTAAACTCCTCTGTCAATATGTTTCACTTTAACAGTAAACTGATTCTGTGTCATCTTCTATAATCCACTACTAACTAGTTTTAGTTTCGCTACATTGACACTTGAATGTGCTGAACGCATGTGTGACTCTTTCCTCACCCAGAAAGTACCAGATAAGAGATGAAGATCCTGCCAAGACGAGGATGATGATGGTGAAGATGAGGCCAATCAGCCATTTCGGGAAGCTCCTCCTCCTTTTTTGGGTCTGATCCGGATCGGCGCGAGGAATCTGTGGATAAACACAAAACACGGGAATACTGAGAGAAACGCTCCAGAGATCTCTCTCAGGTAATGTTTGATTAACCTGCTCTCTCTCTCTCTCACAGTGTCGCTGGCTCGCTCTCGATTCGGATCCGATCTGAACTGGTTCCCGAGCTCCATCACGAACCGGACCGTTATCTCGCGCTCATCCTCGGCTCCGCGAACAGACTCTCGGTCCCGGTTCTGGTGGTTCTTAGCAGGACTCACACAAGCTCGGCTCTTCTCATGTTCTGCGGGAGTCGCAGTGTTTGTCGGTCCAAAGTTCGCAGCGGATCAATAATCGGCTGCTCTGAGGACAGTCCACGGCAGCCGTAGTTTTCATTTAAATGCGGGATTGTGTGAGAATATGAATAACGGGTCTCTTAACAACAGTCAACGCCCGGCAACACGCGCTCACCTGCGCGACGCCCGTGACGTCACTGTGCCGGGTCTCACCTGTGCGCGCGCGATGCTCCTCTGGGACTCACTCCTGTGTTCCAGTCATATATTTAGCCACTTCAGTTCATGCATTTTAATGCATTAGCTGTTCTTTGTCATTTTACACTTATGCTTGATCATCTATGATTATGTGTGTATTTTTCCATTACAAATCAGCACTTTTATCCTAAGCTATAGTGGACGATAGGATCTAAGCATGAGGATCAAACAGTTCCATGAAACTGCAATTTTATTTAATTTAAAACTCATTCATTTATAGTCACCAATTACCCATATTAAACCTGTGAAAGGACATTTTCAACCAGACTTGTTCAGTTCACAACCAGAAGGAAGCTTCTACTGGTCCACCGTCCAGATGTATTTCAAGCAAATCTCAGAAACAGCTGGGAAAAACACAGTTGGGAATACATTACAAAGCCATCTCTGGGGTTCTTCTAAAAAAAGTAATAATTCAACATTCATCTCTGCAGTGCAATAATATCGTCATGATTCCGTCCCCAAAATAATTTTTTTACCAGATTTATTTTGGTTGCTGCAATTTATATTTCTGTTTTGCAACAATGACCTTATTTGCGGAATTTATTATTAAACACATTTCTTGCCATACCCCATACAGTCCCTGACACACAGCATGTACTGTTCTACTATAACACTCTGTAATACCTAAAGGAGACATCGATCTGTTGTCATTCTCCTTCACTTTAGTGGCACTGAGAAACAATGCTGTTGAGAGTCCATCAAAAAAAAGGCTTTTAGAACAGCAATCTGACCCATACTAACAGAAACAGAAACAGTCAGTCTGAGCACAAAGATGCTTTAATATATTATTTGCAATCGCTGAGAACTACTGGCTTCTCTTACATTCAACAAAGACATCATTTTCAACATACATTTCAATGCAAAAATCAAACACATGACATGAAATGTTATATAAAAATATCATAAACAAAATGACAATAACCGTGAAAAGTCCAAGCTGCTCAAAAGAACGTTTCACTTCTGCTTGTGTGTTTCTGTCTCATGTTAGCTTAATGTCCCTGCTGCCAAACATCTTAAACATAGAAATGATAGGATAATATTCAGGGTGAAGAATGTTATAAATGGTCTCACCTGAAACTAATCATTTTCTAAACATCGAGTTTTCCTTGGAGTCGTTCCGTGTAAACTGAACGGCAGAATTTTAGTGAAAAGAAACAGGAAACGCTGCTTTGTGTTTCACCTGGTTTCGCCCGCAGATCCTGCGCTCGTTCTGAGAGACTGCATCTGCGTCACACAAACCTGCTGAGATCAGGAGTGACTCTCACATCGTCCTGCTCATACAACAGCACACAGAAGCAGATCCCGTCGTGTCAACCACCTGCAGTCACCAAAACTCCTCTCATCATTTATGCACCATCATGTCATTCCTAACCTGGCAGACTCTGGTCTTAAGAACCAGTTAACACGAGTGATAATCAGTCTTGTTTCGGATTCAATTGAGTCCAATCTGCCCTTAAAAAGTTAGGACCGTTCTTGAAGAAAAAAGTTAGATGACTAACTGTTAAGACTAGTGCAACCAGCAGCTGAACAACTTTCTATTTTCTGTGGAACACAAATGGAAATGTTTAGCAGAATGTTCACGCTGCTCTTTTCCATGCAATGAAAGTGCAAACGATATATGTGTGATATATGTTAAGTCGCTGGGGTATATCTGTAGCAATAGCCAAAAATACAT